GACGCAGTTTTCTAGTACAAAACTCAACAAAATTGGACGCCTTTGGGCGTCTAGACAACCAACAACAGTCTCAAACGAAAGTGGGGAGCCCGAGAGCGGACAAAGTAAATTCTTTACTGATTGAGAGGGTGGAAATTGAGGCACATTTTAAGACTTATTACGCTGTTCAGAGGCGTTAAGCTGTTGCCGGGACCCTATATGTCCACTTGCCGGGTCAATCCGGTGGTTAAGGAGACTTCCACGTTACCCTCGATATTTTTGTATTTTTTCATAGGGTCTTCGCTGCAGTTAGGGCACTGTCTGCTAACATGCCTGGGTACCCTTGATCGGTCAGAGGCCCTCCACGGATCATTCCCGTTCACCCGAAGGGCTCTATACGCTTTTACCGGGCCCCATATGTCAGGGTAAACTGAGTTGCTCGTCGGCCCTTTATAGTATCTCAAATTATTCCCACTTGCTCGGAGGACCTTGTGCTGTTGCTGGGGCCCATATAGGATGAGGCACCGAGCCACTCAATGCTCAGAAGCTCTCTATATTGATCTAGGGCTCTTTTCCTTCTATCTCGTTTGCAGCAGGCCCTTCATTCCCATCGGGGATCATTTTATTGACCTGCCCGGGCACTCCTGACCGCACAGGGGCGTTAATTCACGCACACTGGTCTTAGGTAATGCACCGTTAAGCTGTCATCGTTCTGCTCCGCGGTGCGCGTGTAGCAAAAATGAATGCAGGCAGTCTCCACATTCGTGCGTTTCATTTCAGTCTGTGTCTCAGAACACCGCACCTGGCTCAGCGCATCAATCTCCACAGCCCATCCTCCTCTGCACCAGTGTGCGCAGGCGTGTTTTCTACCCCAGTTGATGCTGTTATCTGGCCGACCACAATCACCGCAATCACTAGTTACGTCATCAGCTACGAGATGTCATTAGGTGCATAAGCCAAGCCAAGCACATGCGACACATTCCTTTTCATCACAGTTAACGAAAAGATGAAAACTGCCGATAGACAAGAGCACACTCTATCTAACAGATACCTGCCGCGTATGGTACAGGTAATCTCCTTTGTTCAGAGGGCCCTGCGTTCTGACCGGGGTCCTATCCGTCAGCCTGATGGGGCACTCTCGATCGTTCATGACCCCACCACGTTGGTCTTCGGTTCTTCTCGATCCAACCCTTATATCCTCCTTCTTGCTTCATCCTGCATCTCCACAACACCCCGCTTTCCTGAGCAGGTTGCATGGGCCAGCCACGAATGGACCGAGAGCCCCCGGGGAAGGGAGACGCCGACCGGGTACCCAGCGCACATGCGCGGGTTAATGCGCTCGGGTGTAAGATAAACTGACCCCCCAAAGGTTTCTCTGGCACGGTGTCCGAATGGCGCGGTGGAGCTACGCCCAAGTTTGCATGACTGTAGACAATTTAATAGCGGATCGTTTGGCGTGAAACAGTTTAGATGTAACTGGTAAGGTCGCTGACTTATGGCAGGTCAAAGTCAGGCCGTGGTTTCAGCGAAGTCAATTTCTAGGGGATTATTTAATCTGATGCAACAACGGAGTGTTAGACGAACCCATACATCTCTCAGATACTTTCTTAAGGGAACAAAACAATTGAATGAACAAATTGCATGGATCTAGGTTCAAGTTCGAAGGTCAGACCGAGGTCAAAACCAACCTGCCTTATTACATTAGGGCCTGCTGTACGGGGTGGTTGCTGACGTTCGTATCGAAGTTATTAATAACAGGAACCGCATTATGCATCGTCCATGGACTTCTTAAAGGCCAGAATAGGTCACTGACCTAAAACGACCAAGGCCAACATTTAGTTTTTAGGAACATACCACCTGGCGTAATCTTCGTCGCTTATTCAAATACACAAGTGAAAGCAAACATGTATGATTTTGGTCACCATTACCTTCAAAAGGTCAGACAAGGTCACTGACATTAAATGAGCATTTGACCTTTTGTTTAGATTACTTATCTAGGCTTTTGGGGCATTTTGGAGACCAACCTGAAATTGAACCTTTTTTACCTTACTTGACCCGAAGGTCATGCCGTAGGAACTGCAAACTTTGACCTCGGTGAGTTTACGTACAGATCGTCACATCCTGTGAATTTAGTGTCTCTAGTTCTCTTAGTTACTGAGATCTCAGGGGGTTAACTCGACGACTGAGGTTGCCCCTCAAATTGGCCCCCCCAAAGTAGCATTTGACCTTCAAAATTGACCCTTAAGTTGACGAAGGGTATCCAACCGGGTCCCGGGTGTGTGTTAAAGCTCGGCGGTTGGCACTCCAGGCGTATGCAAGCTGGAGCCCCACAGCTAACCATTCTTTTTCATCCCATAGCCCTGAAATGATCATTTCGCGTCGAAGGGGCTCTAATCCGAACAACCAAACAACGACCGACCGGTTGTTTTCGCTTGCCATGAGTACTCTATGCTTGTTGACGGAAGGCCTTTTGTTGGCCTACCGCGGCATCCACGGTAGCTCAAGTTCCAGCCTTATTCGCCATGGTGCCTTAGCCTCAGAGCAGCAGCCAGATATGCCCCAATGACTTTGCACTCGCAACTGTCGATAATTCTGTCCGTAAAGTTGGCAAAGATCTTTCTGCTGGCTTTGAGCAAGCGACGTTCTTCAAAGTGGGAAGGGAGATGGAGATCCCCATTTGATAAGTTCCGTCTAGCTAGCGCCCTTGGACAAATGTTACATTTGCAAAAAGTTGTATGGATCTTAGTTTCTGCACCCTCCCTGGTTTCCGCGCTTCCATGCCTTACGCAGTGGTGCAACGCAATGCACACGAAAAATTGACATAGGAATGGTGTTTGGGACAAATGGCAGTTATAAGAAGCTTGCATATTTCCATATTTTTGCAGTCAAGTGAGGTGATGGTTTACAACATTTCTCCCCCCCCCCCCTTAAAAAATTGGTGGCACCGCCTGTGGTAATAATCCATTGCAGGATAGAGAAGCGGGGCAGCCGCTGGAGATCTGTACCAAACACATTAGCACGATACTCCCGACGCTGTCTTTGGTACGCATGATATCCTGCCGTTTTGCACAGGACAAGTATATTCAGCAGCTCGTGGTTGCCTTGATGCGCTCTCCGGTCGTGACCGCATGCTGTGAGCATGCTCTTCGTTTTTTCAATCCACTGTGTCGTTTGTGTCAAGTCGCCACGCGCAACAGGATCCATCACGTTCATATCGATGTGAAATCTGGATGATGTGAACCAATGGGGGATCGGCCACTTGGTCGGAGATGCGGGTGGTGTGGCTGCGATACAGCTTGGTACGGACTCTTTCGTCCTCCTGACAGCACTCGTATCAGCATTGACATCTTTATAGAGATGACTGTGGCTTCATTTCAGATGTCTGTTTTGCTTTGAGCAAACGTTGTTGGAAGCCTCCCTTATCTTCTAGCCGATCGTGAGGAGACATATGCAGAATTGTACAATGGAGGACGGGGCACAACTTTTGACCAAGAAAATAGTACACCTCAGGCGTTCAATTTTTTGCATGGCAATTGAAGTATGACATGCATTCTTACTGATTATGTTTTAACCTCGATTTTTCAATTCTCGACGTTTATTCATATGTATATTACTGCGTTCGAAATGTCATGAGGGAAAGGCACGTGCCCTCCGTACCTGCCCCCCCCCCCCTCTCCTCTCCTTTGAATACGCTACTGATGTCAGCCCGACTCACACGCCCATCAGACACGTTTCCAACTTGTTTGTATACCCATTTTTCCGGAAGACTAGCACACGGGAGATCCGGAGCCCGGCTAAATTTTAGCGACTCCGACTCCACCCCAAGTCCGACCGACACACCGACTCAGGGGCGACTTGGGCGCCGATTTTGACTCCGACTCCGCAGAGTTGGCAATGGGAATGGGTCATGGACAGCTTAAAACAGCTGATCGTCGTTGCAGACGGTCATGGCTCTGAACGTCATGGCTTGGAAGAAACCGTGGCAGAAAGCAATGACTCTCTAACTGCCTTGGATACTGCCGATGGTTTGAGTGGTAGCAGAGCCTCTTTAGATGTGGGGCCAAGCTACATTAAAAACTGCTTCTTTCCGTGGAACGTCATGGGGTAAGTGAACGCTCGCGCGCGCGCGGATGTGCGTGTGTGGGTGTGGGTGTGGGTGGGTGCGTGGGTGGGTGGGTGGGGAGGAGGGAACAACTGACCTGCTGTCTCCCTGATATGACGCTCCTGTGTCCTTTCGGTGGACTTAACCATTTCGTGACTGATTTACGTATTTGTTCATAAATTGCAATTTGCTCTGAACCAAACAAATAAGCTTGACTTTACGACCGCATTATATCCCATCGGTGCAAAACATCATGCACAGTAATGGAACATGCGACGGATGAAAAGCGCGCAAGTTAGCGTCATTCACGAGAAGAGATCCTTCAGTGGATTTAAGGCAAATGTCTTAATTTGCGGAAGGGTGCGTCTTCACGCAGCGGATGCAATCATTTCACATTTCTCTGCGGCCGTGATGATCGGTCGAGACGAGTTTAGCCGTCCCAATGGTCTAGCAGCCGATCATTATTTTAGCAGGAGGTGGGAGGGGGAGGGGGGAGGCATGTCACGGTGCGACGACATGCTGGCGTTGCTCGCCGACGAGGCGGCTCCATGTTCAACAGTTCGTAGTGTATCGCGTGCCTGACGGGACAGCATGCCCCGCGTCTAGGCCGCAGGAGCGGCCAACGGGGCGACTTGACCCGCAAGCGCCCTCTCGCCGCACCGCTGTCCACTGTGTGCGAGCGTCAGAGGGTTGTGCGGACTTGGGCTCAGTGGAGCGTTGGGCGAGGGTGGATGACCGGCCTGGCGGGCAGCAGGCGTCCGCCGTTCCACCGGGATCTACCCGGCTCGGCCGCGGCCGCCGCCGGCCGGCCGCCGCTCCACCGGCGCCGGTGGAGGCCCGCGCGCGCGCCCAGCCAACTGTGACAGATGTGTGCTGGGCGGCGCCGAGCCGTCACAGTGCGCCGCGTGACGGCCGGCGAACGGTGCGGCGTCGCGGGCGGAGCCCTGCGTACTGTGCTGGCCCGCTCGCCCGCGCAGCTTCGGAGGAGACCGATCATGTTCGGCGGCCTGAAGGCCAGGAGCAGGTACGTCATGTGCATCTGAGGCATCGATATCAACACGGCCGAAATAAAGCCGTATTCAGTACGCATTGATTAAGTGGGGAATAACGGTATCTGTGGAAAGGACCGCATAGTGCTCTGTACGGAAAACAAAGCGCGCGGCGTGCGCATCAATGTGTCAATATAGCTTGAGCTTAGGGTGCCAAGGAGACCGAAATATATTTGCCAAACCCTCGAAAGAGACTAAAATGAAAAACTTCAAGTTGTCCATGAATGGAGACAAAATTTATAGCTATGATAGAAAAATTAAAAACCCAAATCGTTTGCTACCAGGATCTTTTTCCACCACAAATCTTTAACTTCGCACGTTGGCTCAAACTTGTCCGTACTATGCTCTATCGAAACTTCAGTGCTGAAATGGCGCATTATCTCCATGTTTAGAGCTAAGGGCCGTAGACCTTCGATGGAGTGGGGGGAAGACGGGGGAGAGGCGAGTAGCAGGGTGGCGGCGGGTTGCAGCTCCAGCGCTACAGGAAGCCACGGTCCAGTACAAATGGGACAGGAGCTGAACTCTAGGGCACCGGCCGTGGGAGTGCCTCCGCACACCTGGTCGTGACATTGACCCGACAGAGACTGGCCATTATTTTTGCCCCGAGATGAACGTAGCAGGGCACGGGCTTCTCACAACTGCGCCCACCTGTGCACCCGGAGCTGGGGCTGAAGGGAACACAGGCTTTGCACAGTCCGATGCTTGGGAGGTTTTATCTCGTCCCGCAACATGGCCGGAGTGCAGGCGGGGTTGGTGACTGGCTGCAGCACTTTGCACGCTTGGGGAGGCGGGCTCCCTTATGGCCACTGCATCCGAAACTTCAGTACCGAGCCTACCGCGCAGAAACAGACCTGCGGTGTTCCGGCCCGTCAGCGCCTTTCGGCTAGCTCCAGTGGCGGCCTGCGCTGCGGCCAGCTCGCGAGCGAGCCCAGATGGTCACCTGATCACCGTCTGCCATCTGCCCGGCGGCCAGGCCGGGTCCCGCTGGTCACCAAGGTCTGGCTCGGACGAACGTGCTGCTGGTCACCAGGGTCGGGCTCGGACGAACGTGCTGCTGGTCACCAGGGTCGGGCTCGGACGAACGTGCTGCTGGTCACCAGGGTCGGGCTCGGGCGAGCGTGCTTCTGGTCACCAGGGTCTGGCTCGGACGAACGTGCTGCTGGTCACCAGGGTCTGCTGGAAGTGCCAGGTCTGGCTCGGACGAACGTGCTGCTGGTCACCAGGGTCTGGCTCGGACGAACGTGCTGCTGGTCACCAGGGTCGGGCTCGGACGAACGTGCTGCTGGTCACCAGGGTCGGGCTCGGACGAACGTGCTGCTGGTCACCAGGGTCTGGCTCGGACGAACGTGCTGCTGGTCACCAGGGTCTGGCTCGGGCGAGCGTGCTTCTGGTCACCAGGGTCTGGCTCGGGCGAACGTGCTGCTGGTCACCAGGGTCGGGCTCGGGCGAGCGTGCTTCTGGTCACCAGGGTCTGGCTCGGACGAACGTGCTGCTGGTCACCAGGGTCTGGCTCGGGCGAGCGTGCTTCTGGTCACCAGGGTCTGGCTCGGACGAACGTGCTGCTGGTCACCAGGGTCTGGCTCGGGCGAGCGTGCTTCTGGTCACCAGGGTCGGGCTCGGACGAACGGGAATTCCATTCGCGTAGCACCGGTGCGCTCCAATGTCTTTGCATTGTTAGTGTTCATCTGCATGCAGTCTGCTTATCAAGGGAGTGAGAATCGTGCACTTCTCGTTCTCTTTGCGGTACTGTTTGGAGGTTAGAGCAACAGTTCGGTCGGAGTGGCTGCAACCTGGTAAAATGTCGAAATAGTGCATCTAAACATCCAGAGTCTGTTGGGTGGTACAACAAACCTAGTTTGTACGCCGTCGTGATTTGTTCAAGGGACCTGAACCGATTGCCGCCACACCCAGGTGGTAATGCTATCCATCCTGCCGCATGACGTGCAGGAAAACGCCGCTTCCCACATATCTCCATATGCCTTAACAACTGGCATCCGGTGAAACGACAAAACTCGGTAAGATCACTTTAGTTGCATTGCCCCTCACTCCCCTAAAAAAAAAACATAGTCTACGCTGCAATTCGCTCCGAAAATGGTACCAATCCAAAGCAGCTTACACGTTAATCTCGAAGATACAGCCGATGCCTCGTTGTCGAAGCATGCCTCCCAACGACAGTGGGTGGCTGATGCCAGCAACGGAACAGCAGGGTCCCGACGCCAGCGGGGCGAGGGTCAGCTCGTGCGGACAGATAGCGAGGGTAGCTTGTGCGGACAGAAAGCGAGGGGTAGCTCGTGCGGACAGATAGCGAGGGGTAGCTCGTGCGGCAGACGGCGTGGCTCGTGTTGTGTGCGGCGTCGCGACTGAGCGGGGGCAGGGCCGTCCCAGCGGGGCCGGCACGCGGTCAGTCGTGACGGCTCGGCCAGCCGTGAGAAGCGGCACTGGACCGAGGCCGGTCCGACACGGACCGGCACTGCACACAGACGGACAGACACAGGCTGACTGCACTGATCGCCAATGAACACGGACAGACAGACTGATTGTCACCGGACACAGACGGACAGACAGACAGACAGACAGCCTGACTGACTGATCGCCACCGGACACAGACGGACAGACCGATAGACAGACAGACTGACCGTCACCGGACACAGACAGACAGACAGACACATTGACAGATGAGACTGATCGTCACGGAATACAGACAGACAGACTGGCCGTCACCGGACGCATACATGCATACATACAGACAGACAGACAACAGATGAGACTGATCCTCACCGGACAAAGGCAGATCAGACAGGCAGTCACCAAATACAGACAAACTGTCTTACCGCCACATCACACAGACAGACAAGCATATAGGGGAGACAAACCGTCACCGGACACAGACAGACAAGCATATAGGGGAGACAAACCGTCACCGGACACAGACAGACGAGACTGATCGTCATCGGACACAAACATACAGACTGACCTTCACCGGACACAGACAGTCAGACTCACCGTCACCGGACACAGACGGCCAGACTCACCGTCACCGGACACAAACAGACAGACTCACCGTCACCGGACACAGACAGACAGACTGACCTTCATCGGACACAGACAGTCAGACTCACCGTCACCGGACACAAACAGACAGACTGACCGTCACCGGACACAGACAGACAGACTGACCTTCATCGGACACAGACAGACAGACTGACCTTCATCGGACACAGACAGACAGACTGACCGTCATCGGACACAGACAGACAGACTGACCTTCATCGGACACAGACAGACAACTGACCGTCATCGGACACAGACAGACAGACTGACCTTCATCGGACACAGACAGACAGACTGACCTTCATCGGACACAGACAGACAGACTGACCTTCATCGGACAGACAGACAGACTGACCTTCATCGGACACAGACAGACAGACAGACTGACCTTTATCGGACACAGACAGACAGACTGACCTTCATCGGACTCAGACAGACAGACTGACCTTCATCGGACACAGACAGACAGACTGACCTTCATCGGACACAGACAGACAGACTGACCTTCATCGGACACAGACAGACAGACTGACCTTCATCGGACACAGACAGACAGACAGACTGACCTTTATCGGACACAGACATTCAGAGGACGACCATGACTGACTACAGTTCGATGAAGAAGTGACGTCCGCCTGAATCCTATTTGTAAGCTATCGCAGTAGGCTCATTCCGGACTCACAGTCACCAATGTGGGGTGCGCGATCGTCACGTGCCCCTGAGGCTTCAGGCTGGTAGTGTATTGGAGACCTTGACTCTGTAATCTGGAAGTAATTTTTTATTCACACTCGGTGTGGCGCATTCCATAGAGGTCACCAGGCCAGCTTCGCAACGGAAGCTCATTGTTTTCGAAAACGAGATGCTGATGAAATTCTTGCGTAGTTCTAGCTAGTATTCATGTCCGGCGCACGCATTTGTGGACACTGATGCACGTCTTTTAACACGCGCCCGGGTGGCCGACTAGATACCCTTCTCGGGGGTGTGGGGGTGTGGGGGGGGGGGTCAATTTGACCCCCTCCTGAGATCTCGGGAACTAAGAAAGCTATAGGCACAAAATTTACAGGATGCCTTGACATGTATGTCAACTCACTTATGTCAAAGTTTGAGATTCCTAGGTAATGACCTTCAGGTCAAATAAGTTCAAACAAGATCAAATTAAAGGTTGGTCTCGTAAGTGCCCCAGAACCTAGGCAACTGTTTCTAAACAAAAGATCACAAGCCCATTGGGGTCAGTGACATTGTTTGACCTTTTGAAGGTCATGATTTCCAAAATCATACAAGACTGCTCTGAGTTTTGTATTTGAATAAGCGACAAAGATTACGCTAAGCAGTATGTTCCTAGAACAAAGTGTCGACCCGGATCATCTTAGGTCAATAACCTGCTCTGACCTCTAAGAATTCAATGTAAGATGTATAATGCGGTTCCTGCTGTCAACAAATTCGAAATGAGAGCCAGAAGCTATCCCATACAGCAAGCCCTACAGTAATAAATCAGGTTCGTTTTAACCTTGGTCTGACCTTCATACCCGACCTTAGAAAACGTAATTTACTCTTTCAATATTTGTGGTGCCTGAGAAAGCATCTCAGAGATATATGGCTTTGTCAGGCACTCTGTTGTTGTATCAGATTGAACGATTCCCTAGAAATAGCCTTTCCTGAAACAATGGCCCGACTTTGACCTGCCATAGGTCAGCGGCCTTACAAGGTACATCTAATTTTTTATATCAAACAATCCGCTATTTAATTGTCTACAGCTATGCAAAATTTGGCGTGGCCACGCCGCGCAGTTCAGAAACCATTCTGGAAAAACCTTCGAGGGGGGGGGGGGGGTGGGTCAAGTTGGCCCCCCGCCCGAGCGCGTGTTAAGCATTTGTCTCCTGTTTTCTTGTCTCCATGAGTTATATGCGGACAGAGCCAGTTGTCAATGAACCTGGAGGTACTGCTATTACGCGAACATCTCAAGCGATCACCACGACATAATCCCATGTTTCCAGCAATGCTCATGGCCACGGGTGCACGATAATGAGCTCCGATCTGATCAGTCATCAGCTTAGTTGGGAACATAGCGCCTGTTGAAAACAAAGAGTATTTTCAAAGCATGCCCCAGTACTAGGTACCCCATGTCATCGCATGGCCAGTGCCTGCCGATAGAGGAAGTTCGAGGATTTTCAGCATAGGAACTGATGGCTTGTGCACTGTCGTCCAGCTCGATGGTCCGAGTGAGTAGCATGCTCAGCCTTCCCCTAGGCGTTGATCGGCTGAGTGTCACCCTGTCAGGTGACAGCGACCCTCAGCCGTGTCTACTGCGGCCGACCGCTGCCAGCCATGGCCTCGGCCGCCGGCACGTCTCCGGCTGGAAATATCCTCTCCCCTGTTCGTGGTCAGCCGCGTCTCCAGACTCCCTGGCACTGTTGGGTACGCCTTCTACTCCCGGAAACTGTCAGCCCTATATCCTGCCCCGAAAAACCGCCAACTGTGTCTGATGTCCCTGAATGGTCAGCTGTATGTCGTCCCCTCCCGGGGCATAGTCAGCTATATTTCGTCCCCTCCCACGGAATGATCAGCTGTTTGCCGTCCCCTCCCGCGGAATGATCAGCTGTATGTCGTCCCCTCCCGGGGCATAGTCAGCTATATGTCGTCCCCTCCCGGGGCATGGCCAGCTGTATGTCGTCCCCTCCCGGGGCATAGTCAGCTATATGTCGTCCCCTCCCGGGGCATGGCCAGCTATATGTCGTCCCCGTCCTGCGGAATGGTCAGCTGTATGTCGTCCCCTCCCGGGGCATAGTCAGCTGTATGTCGTCCCCTCCCGGGGCATGGCCAGCTGTATGTCGTCCCCTCCCGGGGCATAGTCAGCTATATGTCGTCCCCTCCCGGGGCATGGCCAGCTGTATGTCGTCCCCTCCCGGGGCATAGTCAGCTGTATGTCGTCCCCTCCCGGGGCATGGCCAGCTGTATGTCGTCCCCGTCCTGCGGAATGGTCAGCTGTATGTCATCCCCCTCCCAGGGCATGGCTAGCTGTATGTCATCCGCCTCCCGGGGCTTGTCAACTGTATCTCTTCCCTCTGCTGGTGCGCGGTCAGCTGGCGTGCTGTGTCCCGTGCACCGGTCCGTGACGTCCCGTTACCAGTGACGTCATCACTCCGAGCCGTGGTTCGGCTGAGACGCTTCGCAGCCGCGCCCGCTGAACGGTGGTCGCGTGTGTTACGCTCGGCGAGCGCGCGTTTGCGGGCTGACGGGTGCCGGCACGCCGGGTGGTCCAGCAGGCGTCGATGTCTCAACGACCAAAAATGGCTTTCCTATCTCCGGACTGTCTCATCTTTTCAGTCCGGCGGAATCCCAGGACACAATCGGACCCCCCCCCCCCCCCTCTCTCCTCTATCTCAGCCTCACGGACATCCCGCATAGCATGTTAAGGTCAAACATGCCCTTTTTGTAACACTTCGAACAATGTTTCTCAAAGGATAAGAACATCCTTAAGCTGAAGACTTTGAGTATTCCATTCATTTCTCTTTTAAGAAAGATGGCTTCTGTGAGGCCCTATAGGTGCATGCGCAGCTCAGAAGATCGGTCTTACATTGGAGAGTCTCGTGAAGCGCGAGGTAACATTTTTAGGCAAGATGTCTCTCAGGCTCGATGGTGCATACTAAGCGACATGACGAACCGGCTTGGTATATCTGTAAAGCGGTCATGCTTTTTCCCCTATATCTTTTTTTAGAAGACCTCAGCCTACCTGGTTTTCCCTGACTCTCTTGTTCCCATCTTTATGTGTGCTTCTCGCGGCTTGCCTCGTAAGGAATAGCTGTTTTTGAAGTCACTGCTGGGTCGAAGTAGTAGCTGATACGCGTAGCTACACGCTGCATGGTACGGGTAGCTGCAGGACAAACTTTTGATTGGTGGGTGGTTCTCCCGTTACATCGTCGCTCTGTCAAGTAAGCCTCGCGCGCCATGGGTCTGCCACCTTCAGTGCCGGATCCGCCCTCGTGTTCCCTCTCTCCTCAGCGCGTGCCACATTAGTCCCGACCAGCAGTAGCCTTGATCTTGTCCGTGTCCCCAGGTCGGATGGCCCCGAGGTCTGGCAGATGGGAGAGCTGGGGCGGCAATACCCGTCACGGTGTCACCACAGCTCCTCGCGCCACAAGCTGGGCGGCAGCGTCGCGGACGACGTGAATGCCTGGTCCGTCTATCGGCAAAACTTGAACTCGGAGTTCACCGACTCGGCGCTCGGCAGCAGCGACAAATCGCCGCTGCCGCAAGGCAGCAACTTTCAGCTGCGCGAGAGCGCCACCAGCGCAATGTTGACGAAGGCACCGCGCCCACCGCACTCCCAGGTCGGCGCCAACATGTTCACCTACCTCAAGCATGGTCTACCGCGCGTCTTTCCACCGGCGCTGCCGGACAACAGCTCGGGCTACGACTCGAGCGAGGAGGGCTCGCCGGCAGTGCGGCGCCACCACCGCCAGCGGCGCGCCGGCTCGCAGCCGGAGCTGCGCCGCGCCAGCGCGCGCCTCTTCGGCGACTCGCTGCTTTCGGGCCGCTGCAGCAGCGAGGCGGATCTGCTGTCGGCCGAGTCGGCCGGCGAGCTGGCCGGTCAGAGCGAGCTACTGCAGCGGCCCGAACGGCGCCGGCTGAGCAGCGGCCGCAGCGTTCCCAGCAGCCGCCGCGGCCGGCAGCCGGCAGGCTTCGGCGGTCGGGCGGCCGGCGGCCGGCCGCCACCCATGCTGAACGCACGGCTCTTCCCAAAGGATCAGCAGCTGGATGGGAATCGGCCACGGCTGCAGGCGCACCGGGTGGGCTGCGAGCGCCGGGGTGCCGCCGGCTGGCGCCGCCTCCTCGACGAAGTCACGTTCGAGGCGCGTGGCGGCGATCTGGTCGGAGTGCTGACCACCTCAGGTGAGATAGCGGGTCCTCTGCCATTACCGTTGCAGGGGGGTGTGCCAGTGCTGTATTGACAGATATGCCGCGGCACTGGCCGACCGATGTTGTCCAGATAGTTGTGCATTGCAGTGTTGCAACAACACCAACATCACACCACACCAGCTGTGTCGTGCACGCTGTGCTGTTTGGTGTATTGGTAGACGTCCTCTAACGACTGCCGGATTTTGTACAAATATCTGCGTAGTGTGACGTTGTAACAAGACTATTGCTCTCCCGGCCCCACCGTGCTGAGCGCAGCACCGGTCGGCAGCACCACCAGCTGACCCGCCGCACGGCTGCCACAGACACCGAGGGCACGGCGCTGCTGGACGCGCTGGCCAACAGCAGCAGCCGCGGCCAGCTGCGCGTCAGCGGCCAGCTGCTGCTCAATGGCTGCTCGGTGCCGCCGGGCCGGCTGGCCGAGCGGCTGACCTACGTACAGTGTGACCGCTCGCTGGCCGGCGCCATGTCCGTCCGACAGACGCTGCTCTTCTACGCCTTCCTGCAGGAGCCGGGCCACGTGGCCAGGTGCTTCAACATCAAGAACAAGGTAACGAGAAGGACGGAGCGGGCGCCTCGCGATATGTCATGGCGGAGGGCTAACTGTTAACTGTTTGTGGTGCCGCACGACCAGTGCACCAGCGTGACACTTTGTGTGATTCGAAACCTGACTACTATTCCTAACGACGGCTAAGTGTTTCTCATCTTAATGTTTGGGACGAGCAACCCACTGTTGCACCTGTTCTGGTCGTGTGCTATGCCTGGGTCTGCCATGATAGTATCCTGTCTCGTCCCTTTTCAGATCACGGCGCTGCTGGACGACCTGGGCTTGGGTCAAGTGAAGCATACCTGCGTGCGCGAGCTGACCGACTCGGAGCGGTGTCGCCTGAGCGTGGCGTGCCACCTCTGCCTCGAGACGGACCTCGTGCTGCTGGACCAGCCCACGCGCCACATGGACATATTCGACACCTTCTTCCTGGTGGAGTACCTGCGACAGTGGGCGGCACGTGGCCGCATCGTGCTGCTCACCCTGCAACCGCCCACCTACGAGGTGTTCAGCTTGCTGACCAGGGTGCTGCTGCTCTCCGGCCAGCGCGTCATCTACAGCGGCAAGCGGAGCGAGATGCTGCCCTACTTCGCATTCATCGACTACCCGTGCCCGGCCTACAAGAACCCGTCCGACTACTACCGTGAGTGCAGCGGCGGGCGAGGCGGGCAGGCGAGCGACTGGGACTGACGCCACAGACGCCCGGCGCTGGTGACGTTCTCGGCAGCCACCTCGAAGCCATGCAACTGACGCCGCGAAGCGTGCGACTGCGGTACGAATGTTGTTTCGGTGTAACGTTTGTGGAAAGTAATGAACATGGTTATTATGCGTACCCTCTACCAACTCAGCTTCATGTCTTGTTGTTACTCTACAGGCTTGTTATAAGATGTGCAAAGAAAACGTTTCATAGGTCATATATATATATATATATATATATATATATATATATATATATATATATACATGCATCCATATAAACGCGTATTGGTAAGCACGACCGTACAAACTGCCGTCAGATTCCAGACGGTCCGCCAGTAGTATGCTAGTGAGTAGCGAGCTTTCTCTAGTCTTCTGCACGGTCCCCACCCCTGTCGTCACGTGCTCCGAAGTCGTACCCGTCGGCCGTGCGATAGCGGTGGCGTGACCCGTCGGCCGGCCCTCAGTGGACTTGGTGACGCTGGACGAGCTGTCGCCCGAGGCGCGGCTGGAGTCATCGCAGCGCGTGGCCGAGCTGGCCGAGGCGTACCAGCGGCGCCAGGAGGAGGCGCCAGAGCCGGGCCCCACCGGACTGCTGCCGCCACGCGTGCGCCGCGCCGGCTGCTGCGTCCAGCTGCTGGCGCTCGGAGTGTGAGTTGGGAGCGGCCGCTGGGTGGAGGTGTAGTTGACACACACACGCGTGTGCGCGCGAGCGACGCAAGGTGCTATCACGTGGGCACACGTCTGGCGTCATCACACGAGAACGCCTTACACTGTGGGGCGGAGGTCGCTCGGCGGGATCCGCGAGTCCGGCAGCCCACGAAATCGCAGACACACGGCACTAGCACGATGGTTCGTGGGTCCTCCCATCTGCATAGGACTGCCAGGTGCGCCCAAGGTTGCGGGAAATACAGGACAGCCGTGGGGAGCCTGTCGGAATTCTGGATCTTTTCGCTACGCTCCGGCGGCTTCGATGGTAGGAATACTCAGTAGTGGCCACCTCAGGATCCTCTGTTCCCTAGCGAATGTGGCTTGCTCTCTGGTATCCTCTGCCGCCGACATCTTCGGAGGAAGTGGTGGTTGTGTGGTGTGCGCCGTCTGGTGATGCGCCCCCCCCCCCCTCTCCCGTCGCCACCGCAGACAGGCCCTGGTGTACCAGTTCCCGCACAACGCCATCAGGCTGGCCGTCAGGATGATGGTCGCATGCACCATGTCCGTTATCGTCGGCACGATTTTCATCGGCATCAGAGGCGAGGACCACGATCAGGTACATCATCCTCTGTGCAACACACCGGTCACCAGATGTATGATGCCTTACCGGCCACCAGAGGTGTTACGACTTAATGGTCACCGAGGATATGACGTGCTACCGGTCAGCAGAGATGTGACATGTTACCGGCCGCCAGAGGTGTGACGTGTTACTGGTCCCTAGGGGTGTGACGTGTCACCGGTCACCAGAGGTATGATTTATAGGGAGAAAATGAGTTTGTTAGAATGGATAAAAATGATAGGTTTGCCGCTTGAGACAGTCTGCCCTTTAGCCGGAAAAATGCAAATCAACCGTTTCGTCTTGGGTGGCTTTGAAGGGCTCCCATGATATACCGACCAGTTTATATTTGCTGAAAGCTAATAAACGAGCACAAATAAGACAGAAGTGTGTCAAACTCTGCCATACAATCAGGAGCCAGCAGGATTTCATCATGGTACTGGACCGGAGCTCGGTAGGCACGCATCACGCCGAGTTATATATGTCTGCCACGGACCATCTATGGTGAAACCCCCCCACCAAAAAAAAAATATGGGTCTGAGGGGGAGCAGGAGGGGCTGGCGTACCCCGGACCATTCCATTGGCTGTGTTCCTGTATACAACTGTGGTGTTTCCCAAGCTAACTTCAGGCCGGTCTGGCCGCTGCTCTGGCAGGAAAACGTGCCGGACCGGGTGGGCTTCCACTACGCCATGATGTCGCTGGCGCTGTGGCCGACCCTGCTGCTCACTGTGTCGTCCGTCTGGCGTGACAAGGACGTGGTCACTGGTGACGTCAGCGACCGGCTCTACTCACGCGTCTGCCACACGTTCGTCGCGGTGAGACCTCGGCGTTCCGTGAATTGGAGACCTTGCGGCAAGCAGCCCGTGCCGCGATGGGCCCTACCGAAGTGTTAACACGTTCTTCGCCTGCAGCGGTTCATGGGCGGCACGCTATACCGGCCCGATTCGTCGCACTTCTCCGCCTGGGATCCCGGTCCAGGACGAGTCGAGTTGGACGCCTAGTCTAGGACGAGTTGTAATTGCGCTGCGCAACAGGGCGAATCGTGAACACGAACACACTGCACTGCACTGCACCTGGCCGGGCGGTGTCCATGACGATCGTTGCCTCTCGTGCGCCGGCAGATTATGCTGGACCTGCCGGGCGCGGCGCTCGAGTGTCTGCTGCTGACCGGACCGGCGCAAAAGATGGCCGGCACACAGCCCGCCGACACGGCCACCTCGTTCTACGTGTATACAGGTGGGCCACAGTCCAGGCGAGACAGGGCTGCAGAGCGATGCCCGTTGTCCCACTACTGAGTGCGCTCCAACATACGCTTGTTCCAGGGAGCGTGTAAACATGCCTGCCGTACTTGACCGCTCCAGCGTATGTGCTGGTGTACCGTACTGTACCTGCCCGCCCCAGATGTACGCGCTTATGTCCAGATGTGCACGCATCCGCCGCCATAACCAGCTCGCATACCGTGCCGTATGCACGCGCGCCTATCTGCCGTGATGGTGTCTGCTAACGGGCGGCAACTTTCCGTCGGGTTACCGTATTGCTTGCGTACCGTGGTGCATGTGTCCGCCGTCGTGGTACAACACACGCACCACATCCGCCCTCCGGCAGGGTACATGCTGGTGTACCTGCTGTGTGTGCGGCTACTGGCTGTGGCGGCCGGCTACGCCTGCTCGTCGCGCCACCAGTCGGCCGGCTGGCTAGGAGCCGTGCTGCTGCCGCTGCTGCTGGCCGCTGGCGGCAGCCTTCATCCCCACGACCTGTCGCCCTGGACCCACTGGCTGCGCTGGGTGTCGGCGCCCGCCTGGATCTTCCAGCGGCTCGTCTGGAACGAGCTGGCACACGTGCGCCGCCTCCGCTGCGACCGGAACCCGGTGATGCCGCAGAACGGGACGATCCTGGTGCAGGTGGAGTGTGGCCTGGCCGCCGGGCCGCAGGCGCTCCGCTTCCTGGCAGTAGAGGACGAGCGGACACCGCTGCTGCCCCTGCTGGCGGCCGGCCTGACGGCGCTGCTGGCGCTGCTGGCCGCGCTGCTGGCTGCCGTGCTGGCCCGGCAGCGGCGCGCCCGCTCACGGGCCCGCAGCGCGCGCGTGCCGTGACCGTCGCCGCCAGGGAAAGCTAACCCGGGGACGGCGCCGGGACGAGGCGGCGGACTGTCACGGCTTCATGCAGCGGATCGTGGCTGAGGCTGTTGTACTCCATGAAGCTTTTGCTACTAGGCAGTGTCTGGTACAATTTCATCAATGGATAGTGCTCAACCATCCGCGTTATAAGGCTCGCGTTAGCGCAACGACCGCTACAGCTATCAGCGGATCGTGATTAGGTTTTGCGTTGTTGTGATGACAGATACAGATTCATAGACTCATCGTGGCTAGAGTTAGCGGCCGCTGCTGCATTGCTCCGATGTCAGATACAGCTGCTTCGCTAGATCTTGACTGGAGCTAGGATGTTGCATTGCCTTGTTGACATATGCCGCGTTATCGGCGGATCGCGGCTGGCTAGCCAACAGTGGCACTGCCGCGATATTCAAAACAGACTGGGTTCTAACGTCCGTGGCGTTCGTAGCCCGCGGCACCCAAGGTGTATTATCAACGTTCGATCCGTCCATGAAAGAATGCATATTGTCCGATCTTGTTACGAGTGTCGATCACAGGTGCTGTGCCATGCCAGCCAAGACAGCAAGCGACGGAGACAGTCATATAGCCGATTTTATTTACTTACGTAGCTTATCACTAAGGCGTCGTTAGAATTTTCCTAGCGGGACCCACGCTTAAAGCAGGACCACATTGAAGAAGAAGACATTAAATAGGTTCGCCGGCGGTGACGCCTGCCGCGGCTGCGTCACTTGCGTCGGCGGCCGAGCCTCGGTCGGGCGGCTGGCGCCGGGAGCGGCCGGCGCGTGCCGCACACGCCTCCCAGCGGCCGGTGCCGCGCGCGCGCGCCGCCGCCGGTGGTCTGGGACCGACGGCGCTCGGCGGAATGTCAGAAGACCGACGGCGCTGTATCACTGGCGAGCCGGCTAGGGTCGGCGCAGCGCCGGCTTGATGTTGCGCGAAATGAGCTCCTCCTCGGCCAGCTGCGAGCGGTACACGTTGACGCGCTCCTTGAACCGCGTCAACGCGTCCATCTTTTCGTCAAGCAGGTCCTCCAGCTGCTGGACGTATGCTGCGGAGGAGGCACACGACACTCGACAGTCGGCACTGAGCTAAAGCGAACCCCCATCAACTGGACGGGGTGACAAGGGGAGAATGCCTACCACTTGGGGGTGCCTGGAACACTACTGCGATTGAACTGCTCCCACCCACTCCAGACGCAGAATCGTGGCTCGACCACATGCGAACTCCCACAGCAGTTGTCATTCTTGCGCCCAAAGCGGCGCTGATGGCTACCACAGTACACATCCTTGCCCTGTCTTCTGCTGATGTCTGAACCATCAACCGGATTGTGTTCTCCATGACGCAACCGGATATGGTGGTGGGAAGGGGGTCGATTCCCCCCCCCCCCTCCCCGGTCCCCGCCGCTTCTAAGCTAAGACTCATCGGACCTCGCAGATGGACTAGTCGATTAACTGCAGCGAGGTCTCACGATTTATCTTAAATCATGTGTAGTTAGGAAAATTGTTGGCCATGCCAGTGCATGGCAAAGAGCAATTTTTCTTGAAAATTGGACCACTTCAGTTTTACGTAGCAGCACCCGTCCCGAAAGCTCAGTGGTTAGACTGCCTGCCTTCCGTTCCGCCCACGCGAGGGTGGCTTCGAGCCGCGTCAGGCGCACGCCGTTTGCCCAAGACCAGGATGGACTGTGCCCTGTGGCAGCGGGCGCGCTTACAGTCAAACGACGTCAGAGGGTCGGAGGGGCCTTGCCGAGCATTCCAACTTTCGCCAAATTCTGCCGTTGACATGGAATTTCGCGGTCAGATGGTAAGGGTAGGTAATGCTACCACAACGGATGGATGATAGTATTTAAAAAGGCTTAGACAAAATCTATGAAGGATACATGATAAATAGGGGTTCTCTCGTTTAACGTTAAGCGCATTGCTATGTTGTGTTGTGTGTTTTGTGTAAACATGAGTGATGTGGGGCTCCATCAATGTAACAGTGTCGTCCCGGCCGAGTGCGGTCAGCGGGTTCGTCGCTTGCCGCCCACACCGAGTCGGCCGTGGATTCCCGCAATGTCGCGGACACATCGCCGCTCAAAAATGGAAAAGCTTACAATGTTTTTTATGTCAAAACGCTCGCAACGAATGTCTCAGAGGCTGAAGACAATTTGGGTGCCATCACATGATATGCTGGAGAGATCTTCTCGGAAACCTTAAAGGGAGGGAGGTCACATCAACCCGCTAAAAGGGCGAGGGTTAAGCACACAGGGCCTATGAACGGCAGGTCTGAGTGCCAGTTTGGGCAGCGAGCTGGGGAAAAGGCGACACTCGTTTCTGGTGCAAACCACATAGCCATGAAACCGTAATAAAAACTTTGTCTAGAAATTCGAGTTAAGTCCATGCTGTGGACAATGACCAACAAAAACAAATCATGGACGAAGGCAAACTCATTGAGCGACAGCGATTTCCTGTTTGCTCTGATCCCACGCGAGCCTAGTTATTACAAGGGAATTTAGATGACCTTACAATAACCACATACGTGACATCTGTTACGTAAGTTGTATTTTTAAGACATTTACGGTCACGAACCTTGCTCGCAGAGTCGAAAAGTTCAAATATAATGCAAACCTTTTAATGTTCACTGGGAACAGAACACGCCAATCAGACCAACACACGGGTCACCAATCTCCGAGAGGCCGCCCCGCAGTCGCGTCAGCCGCCACCCTCACCGTCCACATCGTAGTCGACCTCGTTTGTCATGTTGAGCAGTGAGATATCCATCTGCTGCCAACGGGGCGACACCTCGATGGTGGCCTTATGCATATCCAGCACCTCCTCCTCCATCTCCTGCAGGTGCGACACCGCCTCATGGAAGTTGTAAAGGTCGGCCGACAGCTCGCCCTCCTGTCGGATCCGGGGACAGCGGGTCAGAGCGGCGCACAGAGACACGGAGCGGGTCAAAGCTGCGCACGGAGACACGGAGCGGGGCAGAGCGGCGCACGGAGACACGGAGCGAGAGGGCGGCGACGGAGACACGGAGCGGCGCACGGAGACACGGAGCGAGAGAGGGCGGCGCAGAGCAGCACACGGAGACACGGAGCGAGAGAGGGCGGCGCACGGAGACACGGAGCGGCGCAGAGCGGCACACAGAGACGCGGAGCGGGGCAGAGTGGCGCACGGAGCCACGGAGCGGGGCAGAGCGGCACACGGAGACGCGGAGCGGGGCAGAGCCGCGCACGGAGCCATGGAGCGGGGCAGAGCGGTGCAGAAACGCGGAGCGGGGCAACGCACAGAGACACGGAGCGGGACAGAGGGGGTGGCCGCGAACGGCGACGCTGTCACACACACCCCATGGCCACAGACGAAACTGTGGCGGCGAGGTAAGATCAGGCGACACAAAGGCGCGGCAGTGGCGGACCTCGCCGCAGCGTGGCGGCCCGCGCTTCACTGCGCCGCTACCACGTGGCACTTCGGTACAGCACATACAAACGCCCCCGCGGAACATGGTCTGACGTCACTACGACACGGCACGGTTAGTCGTCAACCTAGCGCGGCCCGGCGACGGCGCCGGTGGCGGCGCCACGACTCACATTGAGGGAGCGCAGCTGGGCCAGGTCGTCTTCGGGCGGCTCAACGCCGCCCATTGGTTCGGTCTTCGGTCGCCGCTCCGGCGGGGCGCCACCGTCGGCCTTCAGGTCCATTGGGTCCTGGGCGCCCAGCTCCTTGACGCGGTCGGCGTATCGCAACGTGTTGAGGCTGTGCTCGCACGAACTTAGGCCGGGGCTGATCATGGCGATCTGACGGCACGCCAGCCAGCGGTGACGTCATAATGTCATGTGACGTCACAGTACCGCGCTAACCAACGCTGACATCACGTGCCATCAGGTACAGGGTGCCTGGAAACTGGCTGCTGGACAAAACATGCAGGCGAATCGAAGCATAAAAATACCGGTAACGCGACTTACTTGACGCGAGCCCGACAGTATAAAGGCGAGATACCTGTAGTTGAACAATCGTCAATATCCCGCCTGACCAGACACGTATTGATAACCACATCAATGACGACGTACCGCCCTCAGTGCTGCGCCGCGGCGGCAGCTCCCGCCGTTCCGGACGGCGCCCGTCCCCATGTCGCCCACTCACCATGCACGTCTTGGACTTCTCGCCGATGAACGAATCGCGCAGCACCTGGGTCAGCTTGGAGGCGCGGAACGGCAGGTGGGCGCCCTTGCGGCCCAGCGCGCGGATGCACTCCTTGAGCGCCAGCAGCGACTTGTTAATCTCGGCGCCCTCCATGCGCGTCATGCGGTCCGAGGAGGACGTGTCGGCGCCGCGCTCGTTGCCGGCCAGGTCGATCAGCGAGAACTTGCCGTAGAGTCGCCAGCGCTCGGGCGGCGCGCCGGCCGCCGCCGTGCGCAGGATGATCTGGAAGACGGCGTGCGAACGCGACGAGTGGTTGTTGGCCGAGGTGGTGCCGCTGGTGCGGATGTTGTTGCCATGCTGGATCAGCTTCAGCACGTCCTCCATACTCTCCACCGGCCGCTCCGTCAGGCCCACCACCTGCACCTGCTGCTTGCCGTCCTCCAGCACGCGCAGCTTGGCCTTGGCGTTCAGCAGGTCGAACACCTGCCGACGGCCGGGACCATACAGCACAATCAGAGGCCCCAAGCTGCACTTGGCCGGGAGCCAGCACCTACACGGTGTATTTCGACAAGTGATGCCAATACGCCCATGCGCCAACAATTCTCCAGGTGCGAGTTGACATTTCTGGCAAAGTTCTCTACAACTGCGATCTGCACTGAAACCAATGCATTAGATTCGACAAAACGTCGACACCGCCATCGCTGGCGTGCTTTGGCAGGTAACTGGTCACACGGCCACACCTGATTAACACCGCACAGTTCACTCGCCTCGTGATCAAGTCCGGGACGACGGGATGACCATCCCTGCGATCTAACATCACGCCTAGTGACAGACGTCCGCGCGCAGTCAGCCCCCCCCCCCCCCCAGACTGGTCGGCGTGTGACCCATGCCACACCACTGTGCC